TTTCTCAAGTAGGATATTGTGGGATCAATATTCTTGGGTTATATGTTTCTTAATTTAAATAAAAATAAAAAATAAAAAATATTATTGTTCACTTATATATCGGTGGACAATATGTTAAAATTTTTCACTGTTGTCAACGCCTTTTAAAGTATATATGCCCCTTTAGCTCATCATCTCAAGTTCATGCAAGCTAGGATGCCATCACCGAGCTCTTCTTCACCAGGACCACGTTTGCCAGCCATGTGGTGTACCTGACCTCATGGATGAAGCCTGCGTTCAGTAGCTTCTGTGTCTCGGTGATGATGGCCTCCTGCCTCTCACCGCTGACCTTCCTCTTCCTCTGGGTGACCGACCTTGCTTCCTTGTGAATTGCCAGCCTGTGACAGATGAGGTTAGCATCTATACATGGCATGTCGGCACTGGACCATGCGAAGAGGTCGACATTCTTGAGGATTTTAGCTTCGAGCTGTTGTCGTAACTCCAGGCTCAGCTGCCTGCTGATTTTCGTGCACTACCCAGGGAGTTTCCCGATCTAGAGGTCGTCGAGCTCGTCGATGGGACTTGGTCGTTCATCATGGGAGTCAGACCTTGGGTCGATGTTAGTGATGTTCACGCGAGTGTTGTGAGCCACTGTGGGGGGATCATTCTGGTAACGCTCGATGGATGAGGAAACCTTCAGGCTTTCAGCGTAGCACTGTCGAGCTGTCTTCTGGTTTGCCTTGACGAAGACGATCTTGCCATCACTCCCCGGGAACTTCATGGTGAGATGTGGGTGGACACCACTGCTCTGAGTTGGTTCAGCGTGGGCCTTCCAATAATGATGTTGTAGGACGTGTTGGCTTCTACGAGGAGGTATCAGACCATCACCCTCCTTGTAGCAGGAGGGGGTCTGAAATTTTTCAGCAGGTCCACGTATCCCCAAGTGTGTACTCGCTCTCCTACAAAACCAACTAGGGTCTCTATGTGAGGTTGGATGAAAGAATGAGGGATATCTAACCTGAGGAACGTCGGCCAATAGAGGACATCAGCCAAGCTCCCTTGGTCGATCAGCGTCTTGTGGACCTCGCAATTGGCGACTTCCACGGCGATGACCATTGGATCGTCCTGGTTGGGGCTGATGCCGACGTAGTCGTCGTCAGTGAAGGTGATGGGTGACAAGCTTTGATGCGAGGTCAAGGTAGCAGAGTGGACATTGTTGATGCTACGCAAATCTCGCTTCCGCGCCGAGCTGCTAGGGCCTCCCTCCGCGAAGCCACTAGTGTTTTGCTGAGATCCGGAAGGTTGGTCTGTGCAGGTGCCTGAACCACGACCTTTGCCTCGTCCTCGTCCATTGTATCCTCCTCGGTGTCCTTGTTGTCGCTGAACGTATTGGCCGAGGTGACCTGCTTGGATGAGTTCCTCAATACGGTCTCGGAGTGTGTGGCATTCTTCAGTGGTGTGACCGTGGTTTTTGTGGTATCGACAGTGCTTGGATTTGTCTGCATTGTTGGGAGTGTGACCTGGTGGAGGCAGGGTGAGCAGGTTGCTGCTACTAGCCTCCTCTAGGATGTGTACTCGGGGCGTATTCAGGAGAGTGTAGAAGTCGTATGTCCCTCCTTTGCTTGCCCTAGCCGACTTCTTAAACTGGCTGTCATTATTGACCTTGACCTTGTCCTTGTGGCCCTGCTCTGGCTTCATCAGTGACCTGCTGTGGACCTAGTCACGAAAAGCGGAGTGCTCTTCCATCTGGATGTAGTCAGCAGCACTAGCACGGAGCTCGTCCATGTCGTGAGGGGCTTCTCGGCATAGGCTGTCTATAAACGGTCCCGACTTGAGTACCATAAGCATGGCATGTAGGGCGACCTTGAGATTCAGATTTCGAATTTTCACCGAGATGCCAGTAAAATGTTCCATGAAAGTCTGTAGTGGTTCATCGTCGCCGTGCCTGAGACTAGCCAAAGCTGCTGAAGTAATGTGATGAGGTCGGCTTGTCGCGTACTGTGTCGTGAATCGTCTGACTAGAGTGCCGAAGCTATCGATCGACTCGACAGGTAACTAGGTATACCAGTTGAGTGCAGCTCCCTTGAGCGAGGTCGGAAAAACCCTACACATAATAGCATCCTCATTGGTCTAAAGGTTTACCTGTGTAGTATATAGGTCGATGTGCTCGTCTGGATCTGTTGTGCCGTCGTAACGGTCGATGTGGAGTGGCTTCCATACGAAAGGGAGAGGTGTTTCCATGATGCCATCCATAGAAGGGTGACGGCGGAAGGTCGCCTAATTTCCCGTGACGTGGGCAAGAGCATTGCTAACTTCATGGGCCAACCTGTTTGTTGGTGCGTGGGACCGATGGGTGATAGGTCGGGGAGTCGATGCCCTAGGCTGAGTTGGGGGTTGAGAAACTGAGTGCCCTTCTTCCTCGTGCTGGTTACTCGATTGAGGAGGTTGATCAGAAGGGCCTCGAGGAAGCTGGGCGCAAATACGTTCGTTCTCAGTGCGTAGCGCTGCTAGGTCAGCTTTGTTAGCGGTACGTAGCGCCGCCAGGTCTGTTTCGTGCTTGGCACGCATATTTTGTAGATCGGCGGTGTATTGTTGCCTCATCTGCTCGACTTGTTCGATCAGCCTTCTCAATGTTGCTTCGTTGTCCATGCCTGCCATGCAATCTGCATCGTCTGTTGCACGTTTACTATGGCTTCGGGTGAATACCATAATCGTGGCCGATAAGAGCTGTCTTGATCGGCCCCACGGTGGGCACCAAATGTTCTTACTGGAGATCGTTCGTAAGGATGATCTGCTGGGTAAGATCGGTGAGCCTCCTTCACTGGTACGCTTGCTGTTTCGAGATGGGGGTGGTATCTGCAAAAGAGACTCCGATGCTAAAGTTAGGATTTGTGTGAGTATATGTCTCGTATAAGTAATGCACGTACCTTAGTGTGAATTAGGGTTCTTCTGGGCCTTGGGCCTGAGGTCATTTTATGACCTATTCGGATGTCGAGCTGACGTGGCTTAGCGCGTGTCCGAGGTCACTTTGCATTGAGATGCGGAGCTCAAGCTCGGCGTAGCGGTACGGTTAGTACAAGTGGTAAATAATTGTTTGACTAAATTAATGATAAATTAAGGCAAAAAGGATGTGTATGAATGAATTGGTGTAAGTGGATTGAGTAACTCACAATTTTGTGAATTGTAGGATGTGTAACTATACTAGACATGAGAATGCCCATGTCGGGCATAGAGCTGCCAGAGAGGTTCCAAACCTCTCGACACTGGACATGAGGTGTTGCACCTAACACCATTTGACATCTATTTTACGAGAAAAGGGACATCAGACGTAGCCTAGACCACACCAAGTAAAAGGGTTCTAAAAGGGTTCCAGACTTCTTGACGCCGAGCATAGCCTAGACCATGGCAGCGAGATTGAGATAGAGAGGTCCCATACCTCACCATGCTAAGTGTTGGGCGTGAGTTTGGAAGAGTGGTCCCTTATCTTTCCACGTTGGGCACGATTCCAAACCTCATCGGACGTGATGCCCTTTTTCCATATAATGTTATTTTCATAATCAAATTGATAATTGAGGAGTCAAGATGAGAAATTAAGACTAAGAACTAAGGAAATCAATTGATGAGTAATAATGTAAGAATAATTTATTAAAATAATGTATTATGGCATACCAATATTGATGATGTTATATGATGAATTATCTTGAAGAATGGTTGAATTGATGTACTGAAATGTTGAGATATGATAAGGCATATTGTAATGAAAATTATGATGAATCGAGATGGATAATTCCAGTCTTACAGACTGGCAAACGATGAAGTGAGTTATTGTATATTGTGTTATTGTGGTGTGAATGATGAGTTCATGCATTTATACTTTGTTCGTGAAATAATGTGAGTATATATAGGTGGAATATCATAGGTCATCTATCTATGCCTAGGGGGTGTTATGGTGGAGAAATCTCTAATAGGAATAGGAGACTACCATGGTCAACTATAACACTTCAACAAGCCCCTAATAGACATCCCTTAGTTGAGGGTGATTCAAGGAGATCATTATAGATGGGTGATTCTGTTCCACAACTCCTAGGCTATTTTGTAATGGTGACAATGATGAGGAGATTGCTACCACACACATGTAAAGTTAGGATCATGCATTGCACAAGTCTCATTTTTGTAATTGAGTTAAATTGTATGACTTGTTGGTTATTGAGGATGAATGAATGTGTGGTAATGATTATTATTGATGTCTGGATGGAGATTTATATGTATTTTGAGATGTACTTAATGTCATAGATGTGTGTCTATTCTTAAAGTTTGTTGCCAAAGGAATGTAGACCAACCTTGCACCTTTAGGAGTCTTATGCTTGACATCGTTGATTTTGCACTTAGCATGGACTCACAAAAAGACAAATTTAGAGTCTTATGAAGCCCCTTCCAAACTCTCTCAAATTGGTTCAAGTACTTTATGCTTTGTCTTATGAAATTCATCATATTTAACATTTATAGGCACAATAAAAATTAAAAACACACTTTTCTACATATAAATTTTTATTATAAAACATCAAATCACCCAAATATCGTCAAGGTTAATTATCAAAATCCTAATATCAAACAATTTTATAGCAACAAAAATAGGGATAACACTGTAGGCCAAATTTGATGGGTCAACCCATCTTTCTTTACTAGGTTGGATTAGATAAATAAACTCACCAACTTGCCAACTTGGTGGATCAACCTACTAACTTTTTTTTTTCCTTTCATTTTATAGCCTTAAAAGATAAATTTGTAGTTAATTTATGTTAGATTAATATTTTTATTTTATAGCCTAACTCCTCTTTCTAAGTACTTATTCCCATTTTATATGAAATAAAAATATATTATTTTAATCACATGTGCTTGACAATGACACTTTTATGTATAGTGCCTTTTCTTCGAGAGTGCATTTTTTTTGACATTTTATTTGAGTTGTATTATTTTAAATTAAGATTAACTTTTAGGTTTATAATTTAAATATATATATATATATATATATATAGATATATTACTTTTGACCCTTACATAAAAAGTATAACTCATCCTATAAATGTATAAATAATAATAAAATTATTGGTTAAAGTGAAAATGTGTATTAAAAAAATTTAGTTGAAATTTTTCTTTAAAACTTAGGTGGGTTATTGAAGGTTAGTCAACTCGCTAACCCATTATTTTTAACCCACCAACTCTCTAAAATGGACCAATTTCCTAATTCATTGTTAAGTGAGGTGAGTTACATTCTTTAACTTATTTTTTGGTGAGTTAACCTGCCTCACCTTGCTTTAGGTGGGTTAATTTAATTTGTCACCTCTAAACAAAAATAATTCATCAAATCATTGATTCCTTCAATGCATCAACTCAAACACTAGGTAATCAACACCTTAGGATATTTACAAACTTCCTAGAGATATGCCATAAAAACAAATGCAAGTCATAGGGTTGAATGCCAACCTCACTACCCATATTTGAATCTATAATGACCCGACATGTCTCACATTGACGCAACTATACCACAAAACATCAACTACGTAATGAAAATGTAAATGATCTATCCAAGGTTTATCATGCAGCAAAATCTAAATATCATGTACGCACAAATATATATACTCGAGATTACAATGATTAACTAGAATCAAAAGCTACAAGGTAGTTTCTAGTAATCAAAATAGTAAAAAAAAAATCCCTTAAGGGGTTACAACTCCAAAATATATAATATATACATATACTACATAGAACAAAACAATTATAAAACTAAGTCAATCCTACAACAAAACACCAAAGCCAAGAGACTAGTTGTCTCTGACTTCCACCATTTTCTAGATGACCACAACTCCAAGCTATTCATCCTCCAACTATACTTGGTTTGCTTTCATGTCAAGACATGATCATTACAATCAACACAACAAACAATAAAGCAAGCTTGATACAAATCAACCTCATATATACAAACATGAAAGTGCACACACACACACACACACATATCACAACATATAAAATTGAGTCTCAATTACTCACAACAACAACACACAATCCCTCCATACAAATCCATACACAATGTGACACCCTTACTACCCCAACACATACATCGTAATAATGTAATTAAATTAAAAAAAAAAATAAACTTTCAAAGTTGGTAAAAGGGTTCATATAAAACTTCATAACTGTTCTTTCTTCAATATCCAAAATAACTGGAAATAAAACTTGGAAGGTAAAATTTAAGAGTTTACAAATTGTTTTTAAAATAATAGGTTCAACTTCATATACAAACACAATTCATGTCCTAGAAATCCTCTGCCCCGATGTCACAATATCAGAGCATACCCATAAATCAACTGTTGGCATTCTAGATGCCACTCAAAGCCAGATCTTCCTCACCTAAAACATTCACAAATTGTACGGTGAGAAAAGAAAACATTTATATATAAAGGACATAAGGAAAACACAACATAATCTCATTATTATTCATTAATGAAATATTCACAAGCATTTATATATATCATAAATTATCAATCATTCATCATCTTCACATCTCAATTACATCAATCCATCGAAATCCACACAAATCTTACAATTAACACTATGCCAAGGCCACGCCACAACTGACATAAGTGATACGGGTTAATTGCCTCACTCATCCTACACCACGCCAGGGTCAACACACCACACCAGGGTCACGCCCTCCCTGTAGCATCACTTATCCATGGGTCATGCCATCCCTGGTCATTGATGTGAGGAACCACAATCACATCAGAATCCACACAATCTCTTGTAATTAACCCTATGCCAGGGTTGCCATATTTGACATAAGTGATACGTGTCAATTGTCTCACTCATCCCACACCATGCCAGGTCATGCCCTCCCTGTAGCATCTCTTACCCAGGGCCATGCCATCCCATGGTCATTGATGTGAGGAACCACAATCACAATCATAATCATATCCACACAACATCACATCTCATATCTCAATTTCATATTACATACACAATTTCATATCACATACACAACAGATAAGTCCAACAAAATAAGGGTTTACACATCCCTCAAACAATTCAAATCTAGATCATCAATTCTTATCAATTAATATAAGAATAACATTCATAATTAATATGATACTCAACAGAATTACCAATTTAATATAATTTAACATAAACGCTAAAACCCCCAATTATTCCAAAAACCTAGCTCACAGACACTTTTCTACAATTTCATTCTCTCTCCTAAATAATCATTCTTACAAATTAAATATATGTTTCTAATTCTCAACATATACCTAATCTAATGGTATCATTAATTCCTCAAACAAAAATAATATAATTTTTCTAAAACCTAACTTACAGGCACTTTTCTATAATTTCGTTCTCTCCCAGAGCATCATTTTTACAAATAAATCATATATTCATAATCCTTAACACATACAGAATCATATAAAATCAATAATTCTCCAAACACAAACAATTATAAAATTACTCAAAATCCTAAGGGACTCTTCCTCTACCCAATTCCCTCATGTAACTCTACATATAAATAATCCTCTTTTCCCCCGTACCTAGATAAACAGCAGTTGAACTAAAACAGGAATCTCTTGGTCTCCTCCTTTAAATGTCCCTTGGTCTTTAGAGAGAAGAAGAAGAAAAGAAGAGAGAACAGAAGATAATAGGAAGAGAGAATGAGAGATGTGTGAAAATGAGAGGTGAGGGGCGCTATTTATAGGATTTCAGGCTCACCTACCGAAATGGCCCGTTCCAAAAGTGGAACGGCCGTTCTGGGCCCTTCGAAATTATGCAAAATTCTCAACTGGAACGGTTCCAAAACCAGAACGGCCCGTTCTGCTTCTCCAATTTTGGGTATTTCTCTTATTCCGGAACGGGCCGTTTCACTTTTGAAACGGCCCATTCTGGGCATTCAATTGGGCCTTTGGCCCAGCGATTTTTGGCTGTTACACACAACCCAATACGACACAACAATGTATTTATATAAAATATTAAATAATAAAAAATATATTTGATGCATACATAAAATTCTAAACTAAATATAATATAATATTTAAGTTGTTTTGCTCTCGTAACAAAAAAAATAATATTTAAATTTTAATAAAATATAATCATGTCTATTAATAATAACAAGTTTACATCTAAAATAAAAGTATCAAATTAATATAATATAAAATATAAAAATAAAGATATTCAAAATTATAAATTAGTATAAATTAAATTATATTTACAAGACACTATAAAAAATAAGTTATTCTAACTTATAATTTTTTTTATTAAATATACATTTTTGTTAAAAATATTTTAAATTAAAAAGTATATTTTTTTAATTAGTTCGGTTCAAATTGGTTTGATTATTTTTTTTATTGGGTTTGATTGAGTTCCATTGGTTTGTTGCAAAATGTTTTTCTGGATCAATCAAATCAATTTTGATTAATCTGATTTAGGGTGTCTTTGGAAACTAGTTGAGTTCAACTCAACCAAGGTTAAAAAAAGGCTACGGTCACAGGCTTTTACTTTTTCTGTATTGGAACGTGTGTTTTTCTGTTGAACGTGATTTCAAACCGGTAAACATACTCTTAATCGGCCGATTAGGTTTGTTTTTCAAAATCATGCTTTCAATTCATCTCTTCATTGGATGAAAATCTTTTTTTTTTTTTCTGTTCCCCCCTCACCAATTACACAACACCATGTCATTAATATAACCATGTTATTTTAATTTAAATTTAAAATAAAAATCACAAATTTTTATGTAATGTTATTCATTTTTACATACATTTTCTTTCTCGCACTGACTCACGTTCTTACTTATCTAACTCACATTAACGGAGTTTTATGTTTTCGTTTAATGAAAGAATCTACAACTTTATTGTTACTCATAGGTTCCATTGGTGTGATCTTTACCACCAGAATAATTCATTAAATTGGGATCGGGATGATAGTTGTTGGAATTCAAGTTGTTGTCATAGGAAAATATTCAATCAATTTTATTGCTACAAGTGACATGCATATCTATATATAAAAAAGAAAATAACCCAAACATAAAACATAAATAAGAAATGTGTGTGAGAGGATAAATGGAAATTCAAATGCAAATATATGCATTAGCAATGAACACATATACAAAGGAAATGAATGGTGTTTATGTTTTTGGCAGCAACTGCAATTAATAATTAATTTATTTATTCGTAAGTGGGTTGATATGTTTTGTTGCACTTAATTAGTAAAGTTGCGTGTGATTTTAATTCAACATCAAATAATAAAACTAGAATAGTTCCAAAGGTGAAATTCAATTGACGCAAATCACAAAAATATGAAACAAAAATGTCAGAAATCCATGAAAGAAATAGCATAGAAAACTCGGAAGTCATGAACTACAAAAGAAACGTACTAGACTTGAATGGAATCGTGATGTAACCCATCCAAACAGCTCGTGTAATCCTGTCAATTTTGTTTAGACCAAAATTAAAGTGATGTGGCTATATAAATGACTTGGCATTTTATAATTGGTGGGACAAAAATCAAGGATAGGTCTATTGGATAAAAGATTTTCATCCCTCTTAATCAACCTCTCTCATTTATCTCTACTTCACCCTTCGCACTTGCACCAACAAAACCTCTTTTTTGTGTCACCATATGTCTACATTGAAACCTCTTCCTAAGAAGCTTCGTGCCCACATTGATGATTTCTTGCATCAACATTTGCAAATCCACGACTTCCATTTTAACATTTACATATTTGCCTTTCTTGCTCTGACCTTCACATATTTGCCTCTTCTAAGCAAGGTGTATATTTGTGACACCTTCTATCTTGAATTCATTTAATTATATAAAACTATTGTCTCAGTTAATTTATTTTCTAAAACTTATGCAAAGTGAATAATCAAATATAAATAATTTTGCAAGTAAAGAACACCACATCTCAATGATCAAGATGGTAAAACTTCAATAATTTTTTTTGTTAGCACTCCTAAAGCCATTTAACAAATAATTCAAAGTTAAAACAAGACTAGTGTTTAAGAACATGTTTAAAACTAAACCAAGACATACAATCCAACTCAAAAAGCTATAAAGTGAAGCCTACTCTACTCGTTCAACATTGTCATTTATGTCCTACTAGACCTCTCGTACAAATGTTGTTCATCCTAACAAAGAAACAAATACTACAAAAAAATTGTCGTATAGCTACACATATCTTATAATGACACATATATTTGTTATTAAAAGTTACTTTTACCTACACTATAGATTCAATATATATTTGTATATTATTAAAAAAGTGAAGGTATAGATTATAGTGACACACAATATATGTTGTTTAATCCCATTCAAAATCAACAGTAAAATTATGTGTAACTATATGTTAAATAGATTTATACCTACATATATTGTATCTATAATAACACTTTTTTTCTATGTTATTATATATAAGATTTGTTGAAGTGAAACAAAAATGACAAGAGTAATTACATCTCACCTTATGCTCAAAGTGTAACATGAAAAATAGAATGAACACATAAAACTAATAATTTCATCATAAGATCATCTTCATATGTCTTCACTTGTGGGTGTTTACGTTGGGGTAAGATCTTAGCCTTATGCCTAACTAATTAATCTTTGTGTGAGTTAGTCCTTCCTATAAATATGTGACAATACGTCGTGCAGAGTACCTTAATACAAACTCATGAGTAAGACCTCCTAGAAAAGGAGTCTGACAACCATGACTAAAAAATTATTACTATAGGCTTAGTATCAAGAGCAACAATTGGATCTATGGTGCATCAACATCCATTATTGTCTTTGTCTTCAATTCCTATTTGTGCTTTTACTACTCTTTCTTTACAAATTGAAGCATTGGGTGGTCCTTGCATAGGTCTAGATGCATGCAACATTAGAGTCTTTAAGAAAAAGTTTTTCAAAGAACTCATGAGCCATCTGTGACTATGACCCACCTAATAGCATACAAGGTTGCATATTGTATTTACACTACTAGTAAAGAGGATTGAAAGTTCAATAATAATTAATAAAGCTTTAATAAAAATAATAAGTTTTAAAATATAAAAATAATTCTTTGATATATAATGAAAACATTTTTTGTTGTTGCATTTATTACTACAAAGAAAATGAAACAATAAGAACAAAGTCCACCTACAATGAAGCTAAAAAAGACAAATATCATGTGAGTAAAAGAAGTTGAGAAGTGCAAAAAAATAAGAGGTATGATGCAAAATCAGTACAAGGGAGAAAAAGAGAGGAATTTTAAAAAGTAAGAGCAACAATTGAAGAAGTAATATAATTTTTTTGAAAAATAATAAAAAATATAAAATTAAATAAAAATGTGTACTAAATAGGTTTAACTCAATTAATTAAGTAGTGTATGTGAGTTGTTATAACATTGACCTCAATTTTTTTAAGAAAAATAGAGAGATAAATGTGTAAATAGCATATACTTATCCTTTTGGCTCATCATATATACACCTCCTTTTTTTTTTATAAGTACACCTCCTTTATTTTTTTTTTTAAATTTATAAAATATTGTAGTTTTTTTTTTTTTTTGAAATTTTCTAATTTTACACTTCCAACTTTCAACTTGCTATTTTCTTCTTTTTTTTTTCACACACTTTTTTTTTTATAATTTTCAGATGCTACCAAAATAGGTGTGATGAAGGAAAGGTAAGGGGGTGCATGTAAAAATTGAAAAAAAGGAGGGAAGATGTGTGAAAAAAAAGTACTAAATTAAATATTATAGATGTAAAATTAAAAATTAAAAACAAAAAAATTAAAAATATTTTAAAAATTTAATTATTTTTTTAAAAAAGGAAGTGTACTTATATATAAAAGGAGATGTATATATGATTAATCTTATCCTTATTGCATTGCATATCAGTCCTCATTTATGTTTAGTTGGGCCTTTTCTTTAGCCCAGGCCCAAAAATATAAAAGGCCAATTTGATTTTTTTTATTTTATAAAAAGAATATCCGTATAAACGTTTCCCATAACACCCTTCCATCGAACGATCAAAATTCACGCAGACCCCAAAGCCGAAGGGTAAATTGGTCATCACATAAAAGTCAGCAATATATCCTCTGGTAGCGCAGGACGTGGTGAAAACGTGAGTAAATAAGCCAAAAATTGAAAAGAAAAATAAAAAAGATACTCGAGGAGAGAAACCTGAAAAGGGGGTGCGCAGTGTTCCGCGAAGAAGTAGAACTAGAAGCGCGTGGTAACCCTAGCTAGGGTTTGCGTTTTGGGATTCCCCTTTTGTGTGGTCGCAGCGCTGGATCCGTATCGTCTTCCTCCGTCTACGGAAGCGCCGTTGTCTCGATCCTTCGCCGATCTCGGAAGCATGTACGGTCCCCGAGGGTATGTCATCGTAGCTTCGTCTTTTCCCCTTT